GGAGAGCAGCAAGACAAAGCCTTGAGCATCCTGCTCTGTGTCATGGTCCAGATCCCTTCACTTTCCTTCAGGAGCCCTCCACGTGTTTGCTCCGTGCTGCTCTGCCCCACAGCACCCAGTGCTGCTCTCCTTCAGCTAGACCCCCAAGATCAGCTTCCCACGATCCCTCTCCCTGTTCCCCACCAGGACCCATTATTCCCCTCCTGTTCCTCCCGTTTACCTCTTGCCAGGCTCCGTTCCCAGCATCATTCCATCTTCCTCATGCTCCTGAAGCTTCCAGGAGCACAAGGAACAACCAGCACCTTCCAAACCTGCTCTCACATCATCCTACCCAGTTGCCACTGCTGCTGCTCAAGGCTCCGAACCCAGCAGGGCTGGGCTGTTCGAGGACACAGCTCCTCAGGTAGGCAGCATTGCTATGGAGAACAAAAGCTGCTCGGATGCAGATGATGGGAATTGTCAGCCCCATTCCCTTCAATTATTAACTATGAGCCAGTTCAAATAGAAGGAGAAGCCACAAACCTCCTTGCTCCCCCCAGCACTGCACACTGGGATTAATTCTCCACTCGGGACAAAGCTCATCCGTCCCTGGAATACACTGCCTGGCGCAGGCGTAGCTTTGCCAGAGGAACAGGCAAACCAGGGAGGACAAAGCAAGGAGAAAAGCTGCTCCCAGCCTGCTTCTTGTCCTCTTCCACAGGGAAAGGGATTGAAGGAGGTCAAGTTTGGATCAGGGAGCTGAGCTTGCCCATCCCAAGTTTCCCAATTGGATTCCTGGCAGGACAAGAAGGGCCAAGGCAGGAGAGGGGGGACAAGGGCTGCAGCTTGAATAGGGTCTAGTTTTGGTAAAGCTGATCCCATAAGGAACCCATAATTCCTCATGAGGGACCCAGAATTCCCTGTGAGGGACCTGGAATTCCTCACGAGGGACTCATAATTCCTCATGAGGGACCTTCCGGGTTCCCCAACCCCTGGGGCCAGAAGGCATCAACTGGGGACCCCAGTCCAATGCATCCAACAGGCTCTGCAGCCCTGCTGTATCCTGGTTTTCCTCTCCCGTCTGCACCCGTCATGTCCCAGTGGGATTCAGGAAGATGATCCCTGTCCAGCCATACATGAAATGCTGCTGAAGCTGTCACCAGGAGGCTCGGAGCTGTCACCACGGAGGTGACAAGGAGCTGCAGCAGCTCTGATGGGGACCCAGCAAACCCAATTAACTCCTTCCCTAATGGAGAGCTTAGGAATCACTGGTGCCCATTGCAGCATTCCATGGCTCTTACCTCTGGTGTTTTGCTTCCTAGACATTTCCAGGCACACGGGAAGGGGGAAATGCCAACAGCAGCAGTATCCTCGCCCCCGAGCAATGGATCCGAGCGGGAACCAGCAGGGATCTGGGATGGGATGGTCAAACGGGGTCTGGGGTAGCAGTTGCAACCACAGTGCTTCCTGGGAAGAGGAGCTCCTGGTCAGGAAGGCTTCCCTGGGAAAGGGAAAGTCTCAGGATCTGGAAAGGAAAGAAATGGGAATATCAAGGAAGGAAAGGGTTGAAGCGATGCTGAGGACACCCCAGGCTTCTTGGAACCACCTTAGGAAGGGAATCAGTGTCAAGCAGGGAAAGGGAGGGGTGTGAAACAGCACCAGGATCCAGGTGCAATTCCAACAGGCTCCATTCCAAGCTGCTTTAAACCACTGCCTAAGGAGAGAGGGATAAAGCCCCCAGAACAGCAGCATTCCCATAAGTTTTTCAATGCTTTTTCCCTGCTTAATCCAAGCAAGCTGGAGCCCAAACCTGCCCTGTCCATGTGGAATTACAGCATTCCCTGTGCCGGCCCTGACTGAGGGAGGCAGTGAGAGGCCAGTGACAAGTTAAACAAAGAACAAGAGGATCCACAAGGTAAGGAAACAATGGAAGGGGAGGATCTGGCCCTGCACAAAGTCTCAAAGCTGGAAGCAAAATGGGAAAAATAGGGAAAAACAGGGAAAAGCCATCCCCAAACACTGGCCATTGGACGTGAGGACTGCAGCGAGGCTCCTGGCACACAGGAACTGGCCTCAGTGCGGCAGGTTCAGCCCCAGGGTCCAAACCCAGACATTCCCATCACTGGGGTTTTATTTACTCCAGAGTTGTTTCAAATCCCTGCCCCTGAAAATCCAAATCCCAGAGCACAGAAAGGGATTTTTACCTGCCAAGAATCCCAGAACATTCCCAGTTAAATCCTTTCAGTCCTTCAGAGGCACCAAATCCCCCCCCCTGGAAAACACCGTGGCCATTCAGCTCTGCTCCAGCTGGAAATTCCATGGGGGATCAGGCACAGCTCAGAGCTCAGTCCGAGTAGTTTCACTTCCCGCTGTGCCTGCACCGGGAATGGCTCTGGAGGTGGGAGTTAAGGGCGGGTGGGGAAGGTGCCCTGTGACACCGGAGCTCCATACCTGATCCCAGGCAGAAAAGCCAATCCCAAAGCACTTTAGCAGCTCAGAAAGGGAGTTTTCCCTGTTCCAAAGGGGAAAACTAAACAGCGCTGAAGTCCTGTGGTGGGAACAAACATAGAACAGGCTTCGAATTACTCCTTGGCAAGCTGGATTCCAAGCACGGGAGTGATACCAGGCTGGCAACCAAAGCCTACAGGGATGCGGGGATGGGAAGATGCAGCCCATGGATAGAGCCCCGTTACCAACACAGGAAAAGTTCAGCAGATCCTATTGGAAACAAACGTTCCCATTAACAGCACAACCAGTGGCTCCTTTGGGAAGAGGGAAAAGCTCCAGTGCTTTAGAGACAGCAGGAAAGAGCCAGGTTCGGAATCACAAACGGCAGCTGCTCCCGCTCCAGCAGCCGACTTGTGGAGCTCAACAGCTCCCTATGGAAGGGAAAGGGATGAAAAGGGAGCAGTTTGTCTGGATTTGGGGTTAGGAGGCTATGGAAGAGCTTTTTGCTGGGAAATGGGGAATTATGACAGGGAATGTGCTGCCGGAGGGTGTTCACATCCACACTGTGCAGCAGTGCCTGGCTCTGGGGTTCAGCAGCCACTTCCCTTCCTGTTTTTTATCTCCATGGAGCTCATCCAGAGCCATTCCAGGAGCCATTCCCAAAGGACGTCCCAGAGGAGAAGTGCTCCAGGGTGTAACTGAGCACTGTGAATACAACCCCATTGTCCAAGCCTCCAGCAGCTCGGGCATGCAGGAGCTTCCCCAGCTCTGAATCCCTCCTGTAGGATATTAACTCCATTCCCAGCTTGGGCCAGCTCCAGAAGGGATGGTTCCATTGGGGATACTGGGATTTATTCTACCTGCCATAGGACACAGGAAGTTTTAGCAGCAAATCCCAGTTCACACACACGCCTGTTCCAACAGAGCCTCCATCCTTCCTGCTCCAAGAACTTTTCTTCCCTGAAACAGGCCACGGATCATTCCCATTGGAACCCCACATCCACGAGCAGGGAACTGCAACCTGGGGATGGGGTTTTATCCCCTCAAACCCTTTCTCAAAGCTCCTTCCAGCAAACACCAGCCAGAGCAAGGTGCCAGCACAAAGCAGCCTTTCCCTTTGGATGAGGCCTTTCCTGCTGCTGGAGGAACAACTGGGAATGATACAACGACAAGAACCATTTGAGGATGAATCAAATCAGGTTCTCAATATCCCTCATGGATTTGGGGAAGGTGGTTCCTGGTGTTTCCTTGGGAAGGAGCATGAAGCAGGGAGATAACAGGCTATATCCCGATTAAATCCCCACTTCCCATGTCCCCGCTCCCCCTGCACTATGCCCAGGCATTTGCAATTCCCAAACATCCCCCTCTCAGCCTTCACTGGGCAGCACTTAGGGGCATAAAGGAGGAACAGGATGGATTCCTGATGGGAAAACACGAGAGAACACCGGGATACATCCCAATGGTGCTTCCCAGCACTGGGATCCAGCTTCCAAGCACCTGAACAAGGAGCAGAGTGGGGTCTGTGCTCCTTGGGCAGGATTCCTGCTGGGATGCTGTGGCCACACTCAGATTCCACAAAGTGGGAATCACTGGTGGGATCAAGATCCTCCATACCCTTAGAGAGACGTGGAAACACTGCTTCCCATGGCTGGAAATAGGGGTTGGAGAGGGGATCACTGCTCCCCATAGAGGGGAGGGGCTGGAGGGGGGGATCATCCCCAACACCCCCCCCTTACCCTCATAACCACCCCCAAAGCCGCTCCCCCCACCCCCCACGGCCGCCCCACCGAGGCCTCCCCGGCCCCAGAACCGGCTCAGGGCCCACACGGTCCCGGTGCCGCCCCCCCTCACCTCAGGCCGTCCGATGCACCGGGAGGGGGCGGAGGGCCGCGGCCCGGCAGGAGCCCTGAAGCCGCCCCACAACCAATCAGGACGCGGCCACCGCTCGCTAGCCAGTGGCGACGTGGGATCTCCGCAACGCTCCCGCCCTCCGCCAATGAGAGAGGGGGAAAGGGCCTACTTAGCCCGCCCCCCTGCTCCGCCAGCCTTTCAGATACGACGCCGGGGCCGGGCGGAGAGCTTCTGGCCAATGAGAGGGCAGAAGGGAGCAGCGGCGCGAGGAGGGTGGTGCCCCCCCCAGCCAATGGAGAAGAGGTCCGGCCGACGCAACGTCGAAAGCCCCGCCCCCTCACGCCGGGAAAGGCGGGACCAACCTCCCGCGAGAGCCAATCGGATCCACGAGGGACGGAACGGGGCGGGGCTGCTGGTGCCGAACGTGGACGGAAACTTCCGAGAGCCACCGCCCTGAGGCGGAAACACCCGAGTGTTCTCCGGGAGCGGCCGAAGGCTGAGCCGGGGCGGGGTGGCGAGCGGTTAAGCTCGGGGTTCGGGGCCCCGCTCCGCCTCAACAGCCCCGGAGCTGCCGGGTGTGCAAGGAACGGCGAGTTCTCCGTGCACAGACAACGTGCAAGGCTTTGCACAAGCCCCGTGTGATGGCTCACCCAAGCCCCCACCCATCCCTGTGGCCCCCCCACCCCTCACTCATGGCGCACTAGAAGGAACAAGGCAGCAGAGAGAGGGAAACTCGTGTTCACGCGCCCCAGCATCACCCCGGGGCTCTCCTGGGCCCTGCCAGCTCCTCGTAGGCCTCCAGCAGCTCGATGAAGCGCCGCTCGGCCTCCTCTGTGTGGTGCTGGTTGTGGTGCGGGTGCCAAAGCTTCACCAGCTCCCGGTAGCTCCGGTGCACGGCCTCGATGGAGGAGCCGGGTGGGAGACCCAAGACCTGCGGGCGAGAGGGGGCTGTGGGGACTTGACCCACTCCCGGGGCCACAGAAGTACCTCCAGCAGCTGGAGGGGACCCCAGAAAGGGGGTTTGTCCCCCCTAAGGGCATGGAAGCTGTCGAACCCCATGGACTCTGCAGCCCCCTGCAGCATCCCCCTTCCGCCCGGTACCCAGCGCCGCATCCTGCACCTCAAAACGCCCTCCGCTGCCGCTCGCTCCTTTCGGTGCTGGCGCCACATCCCTGGAAGCCTCCAGCAAAGCCCAAGACCTCAGCCAGGAGCCGCCCAGCGCGGAGGGGCAGGAGCAGGAGCTCAGTGACCGCACTGGCCAGCGCCAGCTCCCCGCTGAGCCCGCGGCAGGCGAGCGGTACGGCAAAGGCCACAAGCGCCAGCGCCAGGCGGTAGAGCCGGGCTCGCAGCCGGGGCCGCGACGTCCCGCGGTGCCGGTAGCCCCGGTGCCGCTGGGCGGCGATGGCAGCGGCCACGCTGATGGGCAACAGCGCCAGCACCCGGCGTTGGAACAGGAGGAGGGCGCCTAAGGCTGCGGCCACCGTGCGGGGGGCCTCCGATGTCTGGTCCCCTACCGAGGCCACCAGTTGCACCCCGAGCCCCACGGCCAGGGGCTGCGCCAGCATCGCCGGTACCCCCGGCAGCCCCAGCGCCGCAGCTAGCCCGAAGTACACCCCCACCCACACCTGGCCAGCCAGGTGCAGGGCACTGAGCGCCAGTACAGGCCTGGTGCGGGCCACGGGAGCCCCGTTGGCCATGGCCACCCAGCTCAGGAGGTGCCACACGTCCCAGAGCCAGCCGGCACCAAAGCCACCCAGTGTGAGCATCCAGAGCAGTGCGCGGCTGGCCTGGCCCAGGTAGAGGTGGTGCAACCCCAGCGGCCCCCCAAGAGCCCACACGCCATAGGCCACCAGCAGCTGCTTGGCCATAGTGTGTATCACCACCCCCGTGGGCACTGGCACGGCCGCGGTGTTTGGCACCCTGTGGGGTGGATGGTGCCATTAGGGACCCTCGGGTTGTGCTGTGTTCCCCCCCCCCGACAGACCCCTCCAGTGGAGTCTTACGTGTCCGTTCAGGACCAGTGCACACTAACATGTCTCCCATGTGCCCACCCACGATAGTGCATCCCCACCCAGCACCCACCGGGCCCACCCAGTGCCCCATAAACCTATCCAGGACCCCGTGAACCCACCCAGGACCCCATGAACACACCCAGGGACCCCTGAGTCCATACAGGACCCCATGAGCCCACCCAGGACCCTCTGAGCCCACCCAGGACCCCATGAACGCACCCATGGACCCATAAGCCCCCCCGACCCCTATCTTGACCCACCTCTCCCCATGGAGCTCCCATGGTGCCACTCCCCCAGTAGACTTTGCCCCACACACCATCAGTCAAAGGGCACTGGCACCGGCAGCAGTGCTGGGACAACGGGTGGGGGGCAGCCCCACAGCAGCGCCACAGGCCCACCCTGGAGGCACCGGGTGCGGGGTGGACTTGAGCCCCCGCTCCCGTCCCCGCCCCGTGCAGCTTCTGTTTGCTCAGCGCTGCCGTGTTTGCCGGGATTAACCGGCTGCAGCCTCCAATTTGGGCTCATCCATTATTAACAGCTCCGCAGCCGTCCTGTGCTGGGGGCTCAGCTCTGGGGGGGGGGGGGTGGGGGGGGGGGGTGAACCCCCCTAGGCTCAGAATGCCCACAGCAATGCAGCCAATGGATTTTTGGGGTGTGTTACCCCACTAAGCACTGGGGTGGGGGGACGAAAGCAGGATGCTGGTGGCAATGGGCTGATGTTGTGGTGGAATAGGGGCAGAAGGGAGATGCTGTGAGCAATGGGGGAGATGCTGGGGGCTATGGGGGGATGCTGGGGAGCAATGGAAGGATGCCATGAGAAATGGGAAGATTCTGTGAGCAATGAGGGTTGCTGTGAGCAATGGGAGGATGCTGAGAGGCAATAAGGGAGATGCTGTCGGGCCCCCCCGCCCCGCTGCCCGTCAGGACGCGCTGACAGCGCCCCCACCCCCCCCGCGCCTCCCGCCCTGCCTGGCTGCCTCCTTGACAGCAGGTCCCAGCGGCCCTGGCCCACGCTTCGCTGCCTGGCACGGGGGGGCTCAGCCCCATCACCCTCAATAGGGGACTCCCCCGTGGCTGGACAGACTCCTCAGCCCCCAGGATCCCCCCCAGCACTCCCGCGGCTGAGGGGGGCTCTGTCTGTACCCCCTGTTGCAGCACAGGATGGATGCAGGAGGTGGGGGGGCTCTCACATCCTCATCGATTCCTTTAAGTAACCCCAATTCCAAATGTCAGGTTGCCTCCAGCGCTGGGGGCAGATGGAGCCCGCGAGTGGCCACAGCTCCGTGTGCCCCCAGCCGTGTGTGCAGGGCAGCGCCTGGGGTGCCCCAGTAGTGGGGGGCCATGGGGGGGTCTCCATGTGGTTGGTGCCATTGGTCAGCAGCAGCCATCAGCGCTGGTGCCATTGACCCCTGGAGCATCCCTGTGAGCTGAGGCACCTGTCACTGCTTATGGACACAGGCACTGGGCTGGGGACACACCAGGGACCACGGCCAGGACCTCATCCTACCATGTCCTCACATACATGTCCCAATTCACCTGTATCCCCATGCGGATGTGCCCCGATGCACATCCGCATCCCACTGCACACACATGTCCTGCTTCACACGCATGTTCCAATACACACACATATCCTGATAAACACACATGTCCCAATTCACACCCGTGGTCCCCCGCAGCACATCCCCCCATGGCTGCCCCGTTCACACGCTGCCAGAGCTGGTTGAAGGCTTCCAGCACCTCTCTCGTGTCGCTGCCTTGTCACTTGGCTGGTAATTAATGCCAGCGCCGGGGCCGGAGTCCCCCGGGCTCGTCCATCACTGCCAGCCCCGGCTGCGCCGCGGCCCCCTGTCCCCCGTGCTGCTCTGAGGGGGATTTGCTATGTATTAGCTGCTGATGCACATTAATACATTAAGGATGTCAGCGGTGCAGCCCAGCTAATTGTCTGATTTAAATGTCTATTTGTCAGTGCCCGGCTCAGGTGGGCATGAGCCGAATCCCCAATGAGCCCCCAGCCCCATAGCGCAGGGGGCAGCACTGCACAGGGGGGTGCACAGCGCCAGGGTGCTACGATGGGAGGCAGGGGGCAAATGGCCCCTCCCTTCCCCTGGCTACCGCTTTAATTGCCGCCCGGGTGGGATGGATTTCTCTGCCTGACATCTCCTGCATCCGTAATAAATGCCACTTGTCCAGAGAATTAATCCGGGCCGGGCCGCAGCCATCCATCCCATCCAGGCAGCGCCGGCATGGACAGCCTCGCTGCACGGCCCCCGCCAGTGCGGGGGGGCACGGCACATCATCAATCCCTCCCTTGGGGAATTCCCCCTTCCCAAGGGGTGCCCCCCCCCGCCCTGGAGGTGGTGATGGGATGAAACCTTGCAGCACCATAGCAGTGGCTGAGTGACACCGTGTATGTGTGTCTCCCCTCCAATGTGGGGCAGCCCCCATCTGTGACTGTGGGCTGGAGATCAGCCCCATTCCAGGGAGGGGTAGACACAGAGAACTGGGAGGTAACCCCCCCCCAGCACCGCTCAAAGCAGAGGCTGCTGCTTTATTGCCGCCGCTCAAGGACAATTTGCATCCAACCTGGGTAGCTTTATTGCCACCAGGGCCTGGCTGGAGCATGCAGCCGCATCCAGCCATCCGTATCCATCGGCATGAGGTTCCCTCTGCCACTCGGTGGGGAGGGAAGCGCTTGGGGAAGCCACGGGGAGAGGAAGGATGATGTCGCCTGGGTGCCAGGGACCGTGCACCGGCCGCTCTGGACCATGCACCAAACAGCACCGGCGCTGCATGTGACCCTGCGGGGGCCACACGGCTGCTCCACAAGCCGGTGGGTCCTCGGGGGCCGCGGAGGCAGATGGTGACCGTGGCTGTACCGCCACCGCCGTCGTCCCCGAGCCTGCTGATGCATTTATTCATGCTCCGCTCTGCCGGCTCGCTCCGGGCTTTGCGGTGCGGGATGTGTCCGTTCCCATCGGGATGACCACAGCAGTGCCCGTGCCCTGCGTGGGGACAGCGGGAGCAGATGGAGGAGGGAACCGAGGCTCGGTGCGGCCGCAGGGACGCCACGACGGGGCCCGTTCCCTCCACACCCCGGTGCCCGGTAATTAGCGGCAGGGCTTCCCCTCGTGGCTAATTAACGCGCTGATGCCGCTCGTTAACGCCAGGCGGTGGCGGTGGGACTCGGGGGGCTCCCGGGGGCACCGGAGGCTCCCGCCGGGGCGAGCTGGGGAGCGGCTTCAGCAGCTTGATTTGTTGCACAAATATCGTCGGGATCGCATCGATCCCCCGCAGAACGGGGCCATAAATCCCGGCAATAGCCCGGGATCGATCGGCGGCCGCTGGAGGCGCCGGCCTGGCCTGGAGAAGCAATGGGATGAATCCCACACATGGAGCATGCATGGGCACGCACACACATACACAGAGCATACACAGAGCATGCACATGCATAGGCATGAAAACGCATGCACTGAGCATGGACAGGCATAGAGCATGCACAGGCATAAACACACATGCACTGAGCATGTACACACACACAGAGCATTCACACACATGCACTAAGCATGTGTATGCATGTGCACAGATACACTTAGCATGCACAGGCATAAACACACATGCGCAGAATATGCACACAATAGGCACGCAGGCATGCACACACCTGCAATAAGCATGTACACAACTGCACTAAGCATGCACACACCTGCACTAAGCATGCACAGGCACACACACTCCCACATCCCCAGCTCCAGCCCCCCCGGTGGTACCAGAGGCACTGGAGCATCCCCGGGGCTCTGTCCCCATCCTGGAGAAGGACTGGACACCCTGACAGAGCCACCCCCGGCCAGCGGGGTCCCAAAAACGGGCCCACGGTGGTGCATGGGGGGGGTGCTCTGTGCGCCCCCAGCCCCTCACACCCCCCGCATCCCCCTTTGCACAATCCCTGCCCCCGCTGCGCTCCCCTCCCACCCCCCTCCCTCCCCCTCGCCGTGCCCGGTGCCGTCGAGCGGGGCGGGCGGAGCGGGGCTGCGGGCGCGGTGCGCTGCGGGAGGCGGCCCCGGCACGTGGCTCCCGGCGCCGCGGGCGGCAGGTACTGGAGGGCACCGGCTGTTGGGGGGGGGGGTGTACAGGAGCGGGGGGGGACTCCGCTGCGGGCCCGGGGTCGTGCGTCCATGAGTGGGGCGAGGGGGGGGCTCCGGGAGAACCGCCCCTGGCGGCGCTGCCCGTCCCCGTCCCTCCGCCCGTCCCCGCCAGCACGCGCCGGGAGAGCGGGGCCGCTCTGGGGCTGCTGCCGGGGAAGGGAGTCCCGCTCCCGCGGGAGGGGTGCTTGCTGCCGGGCAACTTGGCGAGAAGTTGCCCCGCGCGTCGCGGCGGCTCCATCCCGGCTCCGGTTTCGGTTCTTTCCCGGCTCCGTTCCGGCGTCAGCTCCTTCCCGGCTCGGTCCCGGCTCCTTCCCAGCTCGATCCCGGCTCCATCCCGGCTCCGTCCCGGCTCCGGTTACATCACCAGCTCCTCCACCGGCTCCGGTTCTGGCTGCTGCAGGAGCTCCGATCTCTACTCCGTCCCCGGCTCTTATCTCAGCCCCTTCCCCACCTCCACTCCCGGTTCCATCACCGGCTCTGCTTTCTTCCCCTTCACCAGTGCAAGTCCCGGTTCCATTCGCAGCTCAACTCCCGCTCCTGGTCCCATCCTTGTCCCCAGCACCAGCCCTGCTGCTGTCACCATCCCCGTCCCTGTTCCCATTCCCATCTCCCGCCCCGCTGCTGTCCCCAGCCTGGCTGCTCTTCCCAACCCCATCCCCGCTGCTGTTACCATCCCTATCCATACCCTCATCCTTATCCCCACCCTCATCCCTATCCCCATTCACATCTCCACCCTCATCCCTGTCCCCACCGGAACTTGAGGATCTCGGTGGGCGGCTGGGTGCCGTCCATCCCCCCAGCATCATCATTGCACCCAAGGGCGACGAGGACCTGCTGGCACTGGCGGCGTCGCGGTTGAGCCGGCGGAAGCGGGTGGCCGGGGCAGCCGTTGGTGTGGCCATGGTGCTGGTGCTGCTGGTGGCCATCCCGCTGCTGGTGCACAGCTCCAAGGCAGCCGCACACTATGAGATGCTGGGCAGCTGCCGTATGGTCTGTGACCCCTACCCCGAGCTGCCCGCGGCCTCCCCACAGCCCTTTCTGCCCGGTGCCAAGGGTGAGCCGGGCCGCAAGGGCCGTGCTGGGGTACGGGGACCCCCAGGGCCACCGGGACCACGGGGGCCACCAGGTGAACCAGGTCGGCCGGGACCACCAGGGCCACCGGGGCCAGGTCCTGGGGGGTACATCCCCTCCTTCTACAGCCCCAAGATCGCCTTCTATGCTGGGCTGCGGAAGCCCCATGAGGGCTATGAGGTGCTGCGCTTTGACGATGTGGTCACCAACGTGGGAAACTACTACGAGCCCTCAAGTGGGAAGTTCACCTGTCCCCTTCCTGGCATCTACTTCTTCACCTACCATGTCCTCATGCGCGGCGGCGACGGCACCAGCATGTGGGCCGACCTCATGAAGAATGGACAGGTACAGGCTGGGACCAGCACTGGTGCCACCACCATGACCGCGGCTCCTCCTGGTTTCCCCCATCCTGCTTCCTCCCAACCAGTCCCTTGCCCTGTTCTAGCCTGGCTTTGGTTATCTCCATCCAGCTCCTCCAGTCCCATTTCCCCCCATCCTGGTTTTCTGCATCCCAATTTCCTCCATCCCAGTTCCCCCACTCTGCTTCACCTATAGCGCTTTTCCCATCTTGTTTACTCCCAGCCTGATTTTCCCATTGTTTTCCCTTAAATCTCCATCTCTCCATCCTGGTTCCCCTCATTCCTGACCCCCCCATCCAAGCTCCACCCATCATGATTCCCGCTCTCCAATTCCCCCCACCATGCACATTCCATTTCCACCACCCAATTCCCCCAGCCTAATTCCCATCCTCTTCTTCCCGTCCCTCTTCCTCCATCCCATTTCCCCCTATCCCAGCTCCCCCAGTAGCCCCATTCCCATCTCCCACCCATCCCATTCCCCCTCTGGGTCCATTGGGTGATGGGGGGAGCAACTGCCTATCCTTGGGGACATGAAACCCCCATTTCCAGGGCTCCTGATGCAGGTCTGGGGGGGGGAGGGGGGGGGGTTGGGGCACACTGCCTCAGGAGCACCGGCCTCCGGGGTGGGGGGGGCGGGTCTGTGCTCCCCCTGGCCGGTCCCTTTGTTTGTGGTGACACTTTCCTTTTATTATGGGAGAAACAAGGATGGATCCAGCGGGATCAATGGCGGCTCCATCACCTCCGCGGGGAACTCCTGGTCTTGGGGCTCCCTGGTTGAACACCGACAGCGAGACCCATGCGAGCGGTCGGGGGCTGGGGGGGTGTTCTATCCCTGTCCCCTCCCAAAGCAGGCTGGGAGCCGGGGGGGGACACCGGCTCCATCCCCCGGCTCTGCAGCACCCGGGCACAGTGCGACCTTGAGCCGCGGCTGAGCGGGGCGGCGGGGTCCTGAGCACAGTGTGACACAGACGGGGGGGCTCTGATGACTGTGTCCCCCATCCCGCAGGTCCGGGCCAGCGCCATCGCGCAGGATGCGGACCAGAACTACGACTACGCCAGCAACAGCGTCATCCTGCACTTGGACGTGGGGGACGAGGTCTTCATCAAGCTGGACGGGGGCAAAGTGCACGGTGGCAACACCAACAAGTACAGCACCTTCTCCGGGTTCATCATCTACCCTGACTGACCCCTCCGGCGCTCCTCCCCTCCAAACCCACCCCCATCAGTGCTCCGTGTCCTCCTCCCCGCATGCAACACCCAAGGGTGGCATTGGGGTGTCCCGGTGCTGTCCCCATCCCCGCAGCTGATCGTGGGGCGTCATGACATCCCCCAATAAAGCACTCGGGGTTTGGATGTGCAGCGGCTGCCGTCACCTCCGTGGGGGGTGGAGTGGCCTGGAAGGGAACATTTGGGGACACAACCCCCGGGGGGACGCGACGGGGACAGGGACGACGGACTGAGCCGCTGTGACGAGCTCCGCATCGATGGGGGGAACCCCTCGATGTCACCTTCCCCATCACCCCCCCCCCGGAGACACAGGGACAGCGACAGCCCCCCGAGGCGGGGCCACGCTGTGGACCCCTCTGGACCCCGCAGCCCGTATCCCCATCCCTGCCCCCGCATGGCATTGGGCCGGTGCTGCCACCGCCCGGCCGGCGCCTGCAGGACACGGGTAGGACCGGGGATGTGGGGGGACCTCGGGAAGGGATGATGTGGAGGGGGGCTCACAACACCGGACACTCCACACAGGGGGTGGGGTGAGCTGGGTTATCTCCAGCGCGACCGCATCGCACCGCAGCGGGTGGGGGGCTGCTGCCGCGGTGCGGGGGTGAACCCCTCCTCTTCGGGACTCCCCATATTCCCGGGGCCGGTTCTCGTCCCGCTCCCGTTTCACCTTGAGCGTGGCCCCTCTTTATAAACACCGCCAACGCCACTGAATCGGCCCGCGGCCCAGAAATGACCAATCAGCGGCGGCACCGCGCGCAAACACCCGTCTGGGATTGGTCGAGCGCCCAGTCCTCTCAGCGATAGGCTGATATCAGCCTATCAGAACCCGGGAATGGAAGACGCTGATTACAGCGCCGGGATGGGGGATTGTGGGACAGCGCCGCCTGGTGGTCCAGCACCAGTAACGCACTCCGGTAAAGGTGCGAGCGCCGGGACCCACCCCGCACCTCCTCGCGGGACTTGGTCCCTCCGCGCCACAGCCTTTATTTGCGGGGGGCGCAGCCCCAGCGTCTCCCGGACCCCGCGACCCCCGGAGGCGGGGTGCACTCGGTGAAGGTTAAATACAGACGAGGGGCGGGAGGGGGGCATAAACAGCAATGAATAGGGGAAGGCACAAGGCACCGGATGCATCGTGCCGCTGGGATGGGGGGGCAGCCGGTGAAGCCTCCCCGGACCCTCCATCACTGTCCCGGTTCTGCTCTCTGTCTGTGCGACTCCGTCAGCACCTGCTGTGGGGGGACAAGGTGGGGTCAGGATGCAGGTGGGGTCGACACCCCAGGTAGAAACAGCCCCAGAGAGGGGGGAGACCCCTCATGCAGGGACAGGGGCCCCGCACTTGCCTGTCCCGTGTCTCAATGGTTTGGATGAGCACCATCCTCCTAGTTGGGCTCTGCACAGGCTCCAGCACTGCAGGACACAGAAGCCATGAGTCCCCCCCTGAGGCAGGGCACAGAACCCACCTGCACTCTCATGGGGGAAAAGGACCCCCAAGGACACAACTGGGGCACCCCCAACCCCTCTCACCTGAGCTTCTCCCGCTGAAGGAGATTGGACGGTGCGGGGGGACAGTGATCCTGGGGGGCAGAAAGGGGGTGAGGAGGTTGTGGGGTGTCACTGGACACTGCTGAGTGACCCCATTACGGGCGGGTGGGGTGGCAGCAGCTCCCTCATCCTCACCCCATCGCTTGGCCTTGCCATTATCTCCCAGCTCCTGTGGGATGAGAGCTGCTTGTCCTCTGTGGAGCCACCTCCTTCCCAGGAGATCCCATGGGAAAGTCAGCAGGGGGAGGCCCTCACCTGCTCTCCTCACCCTCCAGCAGCTTGCGGTATGTGGCGATCTCGATGTCCAGAGCCATCTTGATGTTGAGCAGGTCCTGGTACTTGCGGAGGTGCCGCGCCATCTGCTCCCTGAGCTGCCGCAGCTCCTGCTCCAAATGCTCCACCACATCCCGGTAACTCCCAATCTCCTCCCCAAACTCAGCCTCCATCTCCTGCATCTGCCGCTGCAGCACCTCATTCTGCGCAGGATGAGGATGCGCTGTAGGCCCTGGGGCTGGGGTTCTCCCCCATAATCGTCCCCCCGCCCGGGTCTCACCATGCTCTTCAGCCCATTCACCTCGCTGGTGAGGCTCTGGATCTGCCGCCGTGACTCGTTCATCTCCTGCTTGGCCAAGCGCAGCGCCTCCTGGTTGCGGTTGGCTGAATCCGAGAGGTCTGCAAACTGCAGCACCCACTGGAGGGGTCAGAGCTATTGGGGTGCCCCGGACCCCAGTCAGAGCCCCCTCCGGCCCCTGGTACCTTGGACTTGTACCACTCCTCGGCTTCCTGCAGGTTCCTCACGGCGATGCTCTCGTACTGGGTGCGGATCTCCCGCAGCGCCACTGTGAGCTCCGATTTGCAGAACTCCACTGGTGGCACCAGGCTTGGGGTGCTCACCTCCAGGTCCCGCAGCTCCTGGGGGGCACACAGGCTGTCACAATATGTCACGACACAGCTTATGGACCCTGCCTGTGTCCCACATCCCGACCCGTGTCCCCATCGCACCTCCTCGTGCAGCTTCCTGAGGAAGCTGATCTCATCCAGCAGCAGCTCCACCTTCCGCTCCAGCTCCAGGCGGGACAAGGTGGCATGGTCTAAGTCCTGTGGGCACGGCCGGGATGAGTTGTGGGGCAGCAGGGAGTGGATGGGGACTCGCAGACCATGCCAGGTCCCCCCCTTAGTCTACATGATGCATGGCCGGGGCCTTCAGATGCGTGAGCAGCCGGGGGTGCATGGCATGGGGGGCACAGGAGAATGGGCACTGCATGAGCCCCCTCACCTTGCGGAACAGCACCAGGCTCTTCTCCACAACCTCCCGCTTCTGGGTCTCATCCTCCAGCCTGGGGACAGCAGGAGCGGAACAAGGTGAGGACCCTCCTGCAGCCCCCACTCTGCAGGCACACGGGGATGGAGGAATCCCCAAGCCTGAGCCAGGACAGGACCCCCACATCCTGCCCTGTCTTGGGGCCAAGACCCCACCGTAGCCCCCCAAGACCCCTCGCTGGGCCACGCTCCTCCCCGGGGGGGGGGGGGGGGGGGTTCAGCCCCTGACTTGGGCTCATCTCCCACCTCAGTGCTTGTCCACTCCCAGTGCACTCCCGTGCCCCACCCTTTGCAGTGCCCGAGCTCCCCGTCCTTATCAGTCTCTCCCAGTCCTCCCAGGGCTTTCTCCAGCCTCTCCCGGTCCTCCCCAGCACATCCCGATACACGCGGCGCACCCCTCCCCGCAGCCTCCAGTGCGTCCTGCCCCCCAACACCCCTGGTGCTTCCCCATCCTGCTGCACGGCCCTGGGTACCAGGGGCATCTCCCTGTGTCTTCTCCAGCACATCCCAGCGCATCCCTTGTCCCAGCGCATCCCTCGTCCCGGCACATCCCTCATCCCGGCGCATTCCTCATCCCGGCGCATCCCCGGCCCCGCCGCGCACCCACCGCTGCCGCAGGGCAGCCAGGTCAGTGGCCAACCCGTCTCGCTCTGTCTGGAGGCGGTCCCGGTCCCGGCCGAGGAGCTGCAGCCGCTCCCGCAGCCCCCGCAGCTCCTCCTGCACCAGCCCGGCCGTGCGCGGCGCGGCGGCGGCGCGGCCCAGCGCGTCTCGAAGGACCCTGTTCTGCCGCTCCAGAGCCCGCAGACGCTCCAGGAAAGCGGCGAAACGATCGTTCAGGGCCGCCAACTCCTCCCGCTCCGCTCCCCGAGCCGCCGCCGCCAGCAGCCCCTGAGCTGCGCTGACGGGCGGCGGGGCCCCGAAGGAGCGCCGCGGGGGGGGGGCGCCGCCGCCGCCGCTCATGCTGGTAGAGGGAGGGCAACGGTTCCCGCTACAGGCTGTTTATAGCGGGCGGCGGCTCCGCCCCGTCGGGAAGACCTGGGGGTGCGAGGGGAGGTGGCTCCCGGCTGGGGCTTCGGGTGCCCCTCGGGGGGCGGGATGGGGCAGGACCAGGAGCCCGGCAGAAGAGGGAGCGAGGAGGAGAGGGGCCGGGGGGACCCCGATTCACTGGGGTGGGGGGAGGGCTCCCCCTGCCAGGCCCCAGCAGAAGGGTTGGGGAACCCCGTGGGGTGAAGCCTCGGGGCGGGGGCTACCGCAAGTCAGCGGGTCGCATCCGGCGCTATGGAGCAGGCCGTGTCCCTCCCCAGCTGCGGGGAGTGGGACCCCTGACGTGTCCCCCCCCTTCTGAACGGGCAGCCATGACTCGGCTTTTCAGGATCTGCCCCCCCACGCCTTCCCTCCGCAGGCAGCACTTACAGGAAGGAGTCAGTGCCCTGCCCAGCACTGCACAGGAGAGCAGTCAAGACACCACGTAGAGAGCAGGGCACCTCCACTAGGCTGGATCCTGGCTGCACTACAAGGCCCAAAGCAGGGGGTGATCCAGGGGTCTGCACCCCACTGGGTGATGGACTCTGTGACAGGGGCAATAGCACAGAGAGGGAGACATGAACGTCTCTCAGGTGCAGGCAGCCCGGCAGGAAACAGCCACCCGATGGCACAGGACCGAGCCAAGGTACACCCATGTCACAGAACCACCAGAACCAGCCAGGACCCACCTCCCCTCAGAGCATCCCCCTACCCTGGTCACTCCCAGTGGACAATGAACAAGGCAAGAGTGGAAACAGCATCTTTAATGATGAGCATTACAGTGTCACAGGCACCAGAGCCAAAGGCACTAATATTCCTCCCCATCCTCCTCCCCTTCCACACTGTCAGCCCCTACCTCCTCGTAATCCTTCTCCAGCGCAGCCATGTCCTCCCGAGCCTCTGAGAACTCACCCTCCTCCATGCCCTCCCCCACGTACCAGTGCACAAAGGCTCTCTTGGCGTACATCAGGTCGAACTTGTGGTCCAGGCGGGCCCAGGCCTCGGCGATGGCCGTGGTGTTGCTCAGCATGCACACCGCGCGCTGCACCTTGGCCAGGTCCCCGCCAGGCACCACCGTCGGGGGCTGGTAGTTGATGCCCACCTTGAAACCGGTGGGGCACCAGTCCACAAACTGGATGGTGCGTTTGGTCTTGATGGTGGCGATGGCGGCATTGACATCCTTGGGCACCACGTCCCCGCGGTACAGCAGGCAGCACGCCATGTACTTGCCGTGCCGCGGGTCGCACTTCACCATCTGGTTGGCCGGCTCAAAGCAGGCGTTGGTGATCTCAGCCACAGTGAGTTGCTCATGGTAAGCCTTCTCAGCTGAGATGACAGGGGCATAGGTGGCCAGAGGGAAGTGGATGCGGGGGTACGGCACCAGGTTGGTCTGGAACTCCGTCAGGTCGACATTCAGGGCCCCATCAAAACGCAGGGAGGCTGTGATGGAGGACACGATCTGGCTGATGAGGCGGTTTAGGTTGGTGTAGGTGGGCCTCTCGATGTCCAGGTTGCGGCGGCAGATGTCATAGATGGCCTCGTTGTCCACCATGAAGGCACAGTCGGAGTGCTCCAGGGTGGTGTGGGTGGTGAGGATGGAGTTGTAGGGCTCCACCACGGCCGTGGAGACCTGTGGGGCCGGGTAGATGGAGAACTCCAGCTTGGACTTCTTGCCATAGTCGACAGAGAGGCGCTCCATGAGCAGGGAGGTGAAGCCGGAGCCGGTGCCACCCCCAAAGCTGTGGAAGACCAGGAAGCCCTGCAGCCCTGTGCACTGGTCAGCCTGTGGGGAGAGCCCCCAGCGGGGGTCCAGAGTGGGTCAGCCATGGCTTTGGAGCTGCGTGCTCCCCAGGATGGGTGCAGCAGGAGCCACCTGGCTCACACAAGCCCATGGGTGGCCAAGCTCTGGCTTTGATGTGCCTGGAGCTCCTGGAGCAGAGCCAGCAGCACTGCAGGTCCAGCCAGCCCCGGCACCAGCCCCAGTGTGGGAACCGCAGGTTCAAAGAGCTCAGGCAGCCGCACCAGTCCAACCAGTGCTGCACCAGCACCCAAACTGGGGCTGCAAGTCCCCCCTTGCCCCGGGCATGGGGCTTCTCATCCTCCTCCCCATAGCTGGGCTCAGGAGATGCATCCCATGTGGGCAACCAGAGACAGGCCAAACCTGTCCCCACATACCTCAGGGCAGCTCCACCTCCTGTCCCAAAGTGCTGATGAGGTGAGAAGGACCCGTTGATCACCCACCCCGGAACAATGGCTTCCCTTTTCCTTAGCCACTCCTCCACCCTAGGAATAAACCCACCACATGGGATGCCCACCAGCTTGCGGATGCGATCTAGGACCAGGTCGATGATCTCCTTCCCGATGGTGTAGTGCCCACGGGCATAGTTGTTGGCCGCATCCTCCTTGCCCGTGATGAGCTGCTCGGGGTGGAAGAGCTGCCGGTATGTCCCCGTGCGCACCTCATCTGTGGGGAGAGCCCGTTAGCACCCGGTGGAGTCCAGACTTTCCTCCCCAGCCCCGGCCCACACTCACCGATCACCGTGGGCTCCAGGTCCACGAAGACGGCACGGGGCACGTGCTTGCCGGCACCCGTCTCGCTGAAGAAGGTGTTGAAGGAGTCGTCCCCGCCACCGATGGTCTTGTCACTGGGCATCTGCCCGTCGGGCTGGATGCCGTGCTCCAGGCAGTACAGCTCCCAGCAGGCATTGCCGATCTGCACGCCTGCTTGGCCAACGTGGATGGAGATGCACTCGCGCTGCGGGGACACAGGGGTCAGGCTCACCCCCCCCCCCCCCCCCCGCTCCGATTGGGTTACTTCACACCCGTCGCTCCAATACAGAGGTTGGGATTCCTCAGGGTTATTCCCAGTCCTCACCATTCCCTATCTAGGCTTGTATGGGGACAGAGGCAACTTCACTGCCCTCTTTTCAGTGGTCCCCATCACCCCCAGTTCAGGTGCACCCCTCGATTACCAAGGGAAATTCCCATTCTCTCCAGCAGCTCTGATCCACAGGGATGTGAGCCCGGAACCCCTCATGCTGTCGCTCAGGGGCAATAACAAACTCGGTAAACTCCCGGGACTGGGAAGCGTTTCCCCACCGCAGCCACTGCTGAGTCCGCACCCCCCCCCCCCCCCCCCCCATCGTCCCACGCACGAGGAGCTCTCCCTATCCCCAGCAGGGTATCACGGCAGATTCCACCCCGCTCCCCCCAGCACCTCCGTGGGATACGTCTCCCTCCCCAGGAGCAAATCCATCCAGGTCCTGCCTTGGAGCCCGGGACAAGCAGTGCGCCCAAGGCTGGGACCCCCGACCCTCACCCCAAACACCCCACACCAGGGCCACACGGAACCCCTCACTAGAGCATAAAAGTGCTCAGCAGCTCTACAGTGTCCTGGGCACACGAGAGCCCTTCACCCCCCCGAGACACAGCTCCACGTGCTACCGTGGACATGGGGGGTCCCGCACCCCCCTGCCCTCACCATGGCCGCTCACTGCCCGAACCGCTACGGAGTCACCGAGGAAGGAGGCGGGGGGCACCCGATGGGGCCCTCCCGTGATATACTGGAGCGGGACGGGGGCGGGCGGGAAGGGGGAGGGGGCGTGGCATCGCATTTTCCCGTTCACCGACTGGCCACGCCCTCTCCGCCCGGCCTCGGTTCTGAACGGCGGGTTCGAGGGACGGCGGGGGTTGGGCGGGCGGTGACGTCAGCGGAGCGGAATGTGGGGGGTGGAAAACGGGGCGAGGGGCGGGGCTTGGTGAGGAGGAGGTTCGGGGGGGTCTTTGGGGTCATGGGGGGGGTCTTTGGGGCCTGGCGGGACCGAGGGGGGCAGGAGCGGTCCCTGAGCCCTCCCCGCCGCAGCCCCGGGCTCCGCGCAGGGAGCGCCGCCGCCCAGCCTGTGGTGGGGGGTTAGGGTGAGCTGCCCCGTGCCGGGTTCTGCCCCCCCCCTCTCCCCGTCCCCATCCCGGTGCCGTTCCTGTGGGAAGCCCCGCGGGGTCCCCGCCGCGCCGGCTCCTGCTCCCGCTCCCGGCGCCGCGCGCGTTCCCGTGCCAGGCCCTGGGGCGGCTCCTCGGGGAGCGCAGGACGGGCGGGAAGTTGTGGACGCCCTCGGCCCTGGTCGGGGTTCCCAGGGCCGCAGCGTGGGGACACGGCAGCCCCGGAGACCCCCAGGCCTGGATTGGAACCCGAGCGCTGCCCCTCTTGGTGTCCCCGCCACAAAGGGAACCTCTTCCCACGTAGGGCTGGGGAGGAGAGGGGGGTACGATGTCCCGGGGCACCCCAGGGAGGGTCCCGGCATGGCCTTGGCAGCCCCAGTGTGCCCCCACTCCTCAGGTTCCCTAATGCCCCCCCATCCCCTGGCTCCCCGGTGTCCCCCCACTCCCTGCGCACATCCTCACTGCTAGCACCCGCCTGGGGTTGGGGTGCCCCTGCGACCCCCGCTCCCTGCGCTCCCCCAGAGCACCGCGAGTCCCCCCCACCCCATCTCCTGCTGGGCTCTGGGGGTGCTTTGGGGGAGGGCAAGTGCGGGGACCCTCCCGCAGCGGGATCTCTCTCACCTCCCGCCGCCGCCGCCCTGCTCCTTTATTGCGGGTTTTGCCGCATTGCGGTGCTGCGCTGCTGCAGCCCCCTCCCCACGGCGGCGCGGTCGCCCCCCCCACCCCCGGGCTGCAGCCCCCCCGTCCAGCCCCCGGGTTGAACCCCCTTTTTGCTGTGGCTCCCGCAGAGTGGGGGCTGCGCGGGGGGGGCACAGGGCACCCAGCTGCGGGAACACCACTGTGACCCCCCCCGTGCCAGAAAACCAGGAGCCACCGGCACTCAAAGCCCTCCCCCACCCCCCGAGATGCCCAGCCCGGGGGGGGCAGCATGGGCAGGGCTGTGGGCTCTGCGTGGCCCAAGAGGGGACCCGGTGGGGCAATGGCCTGTCCCGTGCCCAGCAGTGGATATGGC